TAAATACACGAATTCAGAAGATTTTAAAGACATGTTTTACATTTAAAACCAGAGACTTTTCTTTTGGGATTAATGAATAGACAGCTGGGAAAAAAAAACATGGAACTTTGGTCTTATATATGACAACTGGAACAAGATTACTATATGCTCAAAAGTGGAAAAGTTAGATACTACCCACAATGGAAGAATGGTTGGTGAAGATGATGGAACTTGCAGAGATGGACAAATTGACTTCTTTAATTAGAGAAAAAAACAGTATCTACATTTGTGGCTGACTGGAAACGCCTTATAGACTTTTTGCATGAAACAGAAAAAAAATGCACTTATGATTTGTGGATTTGATGATTAGAAAAAAAAAAGGATAACAGAAAAAAGTGAGCTTTAGTTTGTAATCATAGAGTAAGAGATAATTTTGTAATCATATTTATATCTGCTGCAAAGGAAATTGGAAGCTGCTTTCTATTTCTTTTTATCTTTTCTTTCTGCACTTTTCTTTCTCTTTCTTATTTGCTTTATTTCTGTTCAAGTTTCTATTAGTTTTTATGTTCTTTTGAAAACTTTTAATAAAATTCATATTAAAAAAATGATCCAACAGACAGCACAGAATACTTTCCTATGATTTTTGCTTCTCTTTTTATCTGCAAAATAAGTCAGGTTACTGGTTTCATCTTCAGGCATGGAAAGCAATTTAGACAGTATTTATTACAGCAGTTAACAAGCCAGTTTCCTTTCCCCAACATGCTCACTTCCGTACAGCCTTTCAGATAAGTGTGACTATTTTAACCATTTCTGGGTATCCTGGCAGCCCATAGTATTGGCTAAATGTGTGCACTGTTATTTCTAGATTCCCTTCCTACTTAGAGTTAACTAAGGGGATTAATTAGTCTGGCTGACAGTTACTCTAGGGCTGGTGGGATATGGTCTTCCTCTTTCCGTCCTCTCTCTTCAGTTATCCATGGAAATGATCTGCACTGGGTAGAAATGTCCCTTGGCCCCTCTCTTTTTTATAGTCTTTGCATCAGTGTTTTTTCAACTTTGGCAACTTTAAGATGGGTGGACTTCAACTCCCCAAATTCCCCCGACAACAAGCTTGGTGGGGGATTTTTGGGGGTGGAGTTCA